TACAGTGACGGGCCGGGCCGGTCCCGGGCCGGGCGGCCCTGAACCGGGTCCACCACTAGTTTGGTTCCGGGCCAAACCGGTCCTTTTTTTTTTGGTTCTCCTATTTAACCCCCTACCCCTCCCCCTCAACCCCAAACCACCTCAAATGGCCCAAAATACCTAATCCAACTCAAAACTTAAAAAAAATTCAAAAAAAAAAAAATTTAAAATCCGGCCCGGACCGGGCCCGAACCGGCCGGGCCGGTTCGCCTAAAGCAGGGCCCGAGCCCGGACCGCCCATCACCCGGGCCGGGCCAAACCGAACCGCTGGACCCACCGGGCCTCGGGCCGGGCCGGGCCAAACAGTAACCGGGTCGGGCCGCCCGGCCCGAGTCCACCCCTAGTTTCACTAACTGAGCAAGTCCATGGTTCTCAGAATAGCTGACCAGTACCAATACTGGTTTGATTCACCCGATTTAGAGGCTGTTTGGAGGACACAATATGGGCTTGTAAGCATGAAAATGCAAAAAAATTGCCCAACACCATTAAATGGGCTGTTTTGGTTTATTCTTATTGTCAGCCCGAAAAACAATGTTGTGCTACTTGAGCTAAATGACCTCTCTGTCCTTTTATACGGAGCATACTTGGGATGCATCATTTTTGGTTGTTCTGTTCTACAACCGATAATTTAATTTCCACATTGAGAAGTTTTCTTGATCAGCTACTACATATTGCTCTCTCTTCTTCCTCTTCCCAAGTCTCATAGCTGAAATACTAGTGTTTTACCTGGGCGTTGCCCCGGGTGTATGTTTTAGAATGTTTTGATAACGTAGGACAAGTGCTTTCAAGTATAGTTATGCTATGGTTATATGCTTATATTATACCTTAAAAAATCGCTCATGATGTTCAGGTCTAAAAACCCATCATTTTCTACTCTAATGTCATAATCTCTTACCTTAACATCTCACTTAGTAAAGTGTTCAATTGTTTGTATGTTATAACCATTTCGATATGAAGTATGTCATTAGTATCATATTCTTTGTGAGAAGAAGAACTGAGCAATGATATCAACGATGTGAAGCGGTAACCGTCACTATAATCGCATCAACTCTCACTAACTCCCTTCAAGACAATGTACACTCTCTGTCTAAAGTCTCCCCAAAACCAATAATCATCCTTTTAAACAATATATATAAACAGAAAATTTTCATAGTTTATTCAAAGAGAAGAATGAGATTACATGTGGGAGGGCTAGACCCACATGTATTAAGTGGGTAATTAAACGTAAACAATGAAAATGGTGTAGCTAAAAATGAATACGGGAAGTATAAGAGTCGGACTTTTAAAAAACATACAGACCTCGTTTGGTAACACCGAAATCGGTTGATTCTGCTGAAATTTATGCAGTTCCGGCTGTATTGGCGGATTCTGCTCATTTATGAAAAAATACATCAAAAATATATTTTATTAAAAAAATAAAGAAAAAATTACATGAAAAATAGCTAAAATGATCATCAGTGACTTAAGCCAAAACAGTCAGAAAAGTAATTCCATCCTTACTTTTTCTTATCATTACACATTTCCGCACGTAAAAACAAAATGTTACGTATTTGTTTAAAAAGTTGGTTGATAAGCCTTGGTTGCTTAAAATCCAACCTTAATTAATAGGGAAAATGGAAACTAATAATCCAACCTTTTAGCGATCTTCTTATAATAGTCTCACATTTTCGTTATTCAACAATAATCCAACCTTTGCACCCCATCTTCATTCGTTGGTCCCTGATTGATTAATGACCTGCTATTCCAAGTTAATAGCAAATATGTATAATTTATCAATTGTACTCAATATCAATTAGATAATTGATAAATTGTACTCAATAGCAATTATTAAGAAGGTTGTACTTTATTATTAAGTAAGTAGATATGAAAATGATTATTGGTGTTTTTGTTTAATACATATTATTACTAATTGTTCATAAATAGATGTTGGGAGAAGGATACTTAAATTGTTTTCTAATCTTTGTCAAATCAAATCCGTATTTGAACTGTTAGTTCTAAGAGTTAAAAACAAAACAGAGTATGATACGAAGTAATAGGACGGATAGGAATAGTGCTGTTATTCGAGCCGAGCCGAGCCCGAGTATCCCAAATTCGAGCTCGGCTCGTTCATTTTTCGAGCCTGGCTCGAGCTCGGCTCGTTAACATTCGATTCTATATTTGAGCTCGAACTCGGCTCGTTAAGGCGTATTAACAGCTCGAGCTCGACTCGTTAATATACTCGAGTCAAGCTACTCGAGCTCGAGCTCGACAACTCGAACTCTAATGCTATAAAATGACAATTTTGCCCACCTCACGAGCCCTATCACGAGCTTCACCGAGTTTTTCGAGTCGAGCCAGCTCGGCTCGTTAACGTTATCGAGTAAACAAGTGAGTTCGAGCTCGACTCGTTTTCTCGAATATACGAGCCGAGTTCGAGCTTAATCGAGCCGAGTCGAGTCGAGTTCGAGCCAAGCTCGATTTCTATAACAGCACTAGATAGGAATGAAGAGTATAATACAAAATGATAAGAAGGTGTAAGAGTTGTTTGAGAATGCTGTATAAACTCAAATTTATAATTCCTAGTACTAATCTTACTGGAGGATTATCAAATTTGTTGAATTCTTTTTTAATTAGGCAGCCTAGAGATTGTAGCTAGGACACTTAGGGTATAATTATAATTATCAGGAGGTTTAATTATATGATTATATTCGTTTAATTAGACCTATATGGCTATATAATTAACACAAATAAACAATACCCTTTATGGTAACTTGTATTCTCACTGGATGCACGAATGCTCTCATTAAATAATACTATATGTATTTAAGATTTTAAATACATTTCATTATGATGCAAACAAGCTTTGTAAAACATAAAACATTTTAGAATCTGTTTGGTAACACTGAAATTGGCTGAATCAGTTGATCTTGTTAAAATTTATGAAACTCTTGTTGTAGTGTCTGGATTTTCTGATTTGTGAAAAATAAAATAAAATGTACGTAATATTTTATTAATAAAATAAATAAAAAAATTACATGAAAAATAGCTAAAATTGTTGTCTACAATAACTGCAGTCAAAAAAGAAACTCAAACCTTACTTATTTTGATTATTTCAAAATCAGCTCAAACGGTTCCCATCCCGGTTTGACTATTTTTTTTATAGCTTGAAACCGATTAAAGATATAGGTTCAGCTCCGAAATCAGACCGCCCCGGTATCGGCCCCGCTCGGGTACCACCGGTCCAGACCCAGAACCGGGGTGTAGCAATTCAGGCCCGAAACCGGGCCATTAATGCTGAATAATGCATCCTTGCGACCTTGCTTAGTAAATAGTAATACACGTCTCTTTTTATTAGTCATAGAAGTTTAGCTTCTAATAAAAAAATAGGACATGTGAATATGACACGAACATTGTGTCCAATTGTCCAAAATTGCACAACTCTACTTCGAATATATGTAAGAATAATTCTTGATATACACTCCCATAACGCTGACATCCCAAATTCTTTATATATATTATAGGGAAAATGGAAACTAATAATCTCACCTTACAATAGTCCCACCTTTTTGTTATTCATGAATAAATGAATAATCCAACCTTTGCACCTCATCTTCATTCACTGGTCCCTGATCGGTTGATGACATCCTATTCCAAGTTATTTTATTATCTTTGCAAATCATTATACCATAAATCTCACCTTTTACAAAGATAATATTTTGCAAAGATAAGAAAATAACTTGGAATAATATGTCATTAATCGATCAGGGCCAGCGAATGAAGATGGGATGCAAAGGTTGGATTATTCTTGAATAACGAAAAAGTGAGACTATTATAACTTATAAGAAGATCGCTAAAAGATTGGATTATTAGTTTCCATTTTCCCTATATTATATACTCCTATTACGCTGAATTTTCAAACACGAAGTGATATTAAAATACACCAATGAAACAAAAAAAAACATAACAAAAAAACCAGAAAATAAAACCACAAAATAAACCTATTAAAATTGAACCCAATTCATAAAACCATAATTAAGTTGACAAATTTAAAAGAACTACGGAGTACAATGCAAAAACCGTGACAGGTTGTAAACAAATGACCTTTTTATAATAGACTGAAGAGCTATTAGTAAAACACGTTAAGCCCCATGCCTCCAGCACTCAAAACATTTTCAATACATTCACATTTTTCTGAGACGTAAAATGCAAGCAACAATCCATCCACATTCTATCTACACAAGCCATTCAACAGTCAAACATGTTAATTAATGATGTAGAAGAACTCCTAATAAAGAAAATGAAATTGTCAGAAACTTATAAATTTCATCTTAACACAAGCTTTCATATTAATTATGGAAAATGGAAACTAATAATCCAACCTTTTAGCGGTCTTCTTACAATATTCTCACCTTTTTGTTATTCATGAATAATCCAACCTTTGCACCTTATCTTCATTCACTGGTCTCTGATCGGTTGATGACCTCCTATTCCAAGTTATTTTATTATCTTTGCAAATCATTATACCATAAATCTCACCTTTTACAAAGATAATATTTTGCAAAGATAAGAAAATAACTTGGAATAGCAGGTCATTAATCAATCAAGGACCAACGAATGAAGATGGGGTGCAAAGGTTGGATTATTGTTGAATAACGAAAAGGTGAGACTATTATAAGAAGATCGCTAAAAGGTTGGATTATTAGTTTCCATTTTCCCTATTAATTAAGGTTGGATTTTAAGCAACCAAGGGTGAAGGAGTTCAATCTGCTGCAGCACCAATAGATCAAACAATTTACAACTTCGTAACTCAATTAACTTCTTATCAGTTATCATCTCCCTTACATTAATTAACTGAAAAGGTACTATAGGAGAGAGGTAAAGACGATTGACCCATATTAGGACTATTACCCCAAGGACCGTACTTAAGAAGCTCATGAAGATTAGTAGATTTATACTCCGTATTTAAGAATCATGTTTGTCATTATGACATTGATCACCTGTATAACAACACTAATATAAAAGATTCAATGTGAGTTGGTTGATTATATATGACATTACCATGTCTAATTACACATTTAGAATTTTCTAATAATAGCACTTCCTATACCAAACATAATACCCTGATTATCATTCATCTTGATGAAAGTAATATTGATCTTCATATTAATAGACTTCTGATGAAACATTTTGGCCAAGAAGTAGAGCCATATTTTACAAAATGAGCATAAAGTCATTTGATTGCAGGAACACTTGGCATAGATAGTTGGTTTCCACCAGTTATGAGGATAGTGCTTAACATAAACAAATTCTTCTTGTATTTCAAGAGTAGCACTCCAGTCCACAATCTTACCTTGAGTGTTAATTGAATCCAATTGATGAGTATAATCCAATATTTCCATACCTATCTACCCCTGCTGCAGAACGCGAAATAGTAATAATATCAGAGTTGTGATTAATGTGACTGTGTTTGACATTTAAACAAAAGCACTTAGGCACTGTTAGATATTTCCATTATTGAATGCCGAGTAAAATATTTTCAAAAAGACATACCTGCACCAAGTCCATGTAATCCTTGTGATAAAGTTCATTACTTGATAGATAACAAAAATGGTTGCAAACAAACTCATAATGATTCACCAAGGAACCATTTAACAATGACCAACTGGGCAGTTTTGATAATATTAGCACTTGGTTTTGATAGCTTTCACCATTGGATAGCTCTCCGTTTTTATCAATTCTTTAAAAGAAAGATGCATTTTTGTCTCTTATGAGTTCCTATGTGAAGCACTAATTAAATAGAGAAATTTGTTTTTGAATATTGTTTAAACGATTGCACAAAGTATCCCAGAAAAACAAATTTGCATATCTATTGTTATGGCTGGACTTCAGCCTTAGATGGAAGCCTCAAACGCCCTCACCATAACGAATTGGAATCCCACAATTAACACAATATAATTCTCCATATCCACCCTTGCTTATTTTTTTAGCACTTGGTCATTTTACAATTTACATCCAAAATAAGCCCAACTCAAGTAAAAAAGAAAAAAGAAAAAAAAAGCCCAACTCAAGTAGCTTGTTATTGAACTTATTTGACCATAATAAATCATTAGTTTATGGACACATAGAGAATGTTAATTCAATACTAATAGTCTGAAGAGTAATAGAGTATGTGAAAATAATTTAGCCTACTTCAAAGAAGTATGACTTGAAGTGTAACTTTAATAATTATTTAAAATCAAATCAATTAGCCAAGAGAAACAAATTCCAGCATCCACTTGTTTCTTCAGCCTGTTTAGATATTCTGTTTTTTTTTTTAGCATTACAAAAGCGTCCAATAGAATCATGAAGCAGCCAATTAAAATCAAATCAATAAGCTAAAAGAAACAATGAAAATATAAACTTCATATCTCAACTCCTTAGAGAAGGCATATACTCAAACCAAGTATATGCCTTCAAAGCTACTCAAATCAAAATAATGAAGAAATTCAAAAACTTCAAACAAGAACTAAAATAAATACAGGACATTTTTAGATCTCATGTACTAACAATTGTTAGGTCAACTTTCAAAGCTACTCAAATTCAAAGAAGGCTTACAAAATGAACTAAAATAAATAAATAAAGGACATTTTAAAATCAAACCTAAAGAAACTAAGGCATGAACCTTCAAAAGGCACGTTGCTAATACTTTCTTTTACTTTACTTGTTAATGGTGTAGTCTAGAAGAACATAGAAAATGTCAATCTTCATGTGGTCCAACAGAAAGAACTGTTGCTAAATATGCTTCTGATATGTCCGTATAGCATAGATGCTCAGCATGGCCGGTTAATACTTATAAGCTATAAACTAAAGCTAGTCATGTTTCAAACACTGTTTGGAGTTCAGAACCATGCCTAGCATGAGCAAATATAATACCATAATTTCAAATAGTTTTTATGAAGGTTGGATTATCAGCATGTCTGATAATATAATACCATAATTTAATACACTTCTTTAGCTTCTCTTTTGTTTTTTCAGGTTCCATTTTGTGTCCATTTGTACTTGTTAATTGTTATGCTCACACTTGGAAACATGGCTATAATTTTTGGGTCTTTTTCCAGCACCTGTTCTACACATATTACTCCATCTTAAGGTGCAAACTCTTTAACAACTGTTGGAAAAATGTGTGAAAAATTGCATTAAATGGCTATTTTGGGGCAATTTTTTGAGTGGGGTCCACTTCCGATTTGGGTCGGGTTAAAGTGGTTTCGGATTTTCCTTGCTTAGGGCTACAATTCGATATATGGTACGCTCCAAACGGATAACGGGTGAATGAGAAATCGCTTTTCGAAGTTGACCCGTTAGAATGGAAAACTGGGAAAAAGGATGAGTTTCTAGTGTGTTAATTTCCCACACCGGAAAACCCAAGGGATTTGCAACCCTTTATAAGGGATCTCCCCCCTTGAGGAGTTAAGATTCTTAAGGGTAAAGGCTCTCTCCACGCGCGCAGGGGTGCAGATCAAATCCCGAATTCGGAGAAGAAAAACCGCGACTTGCGTGCGCGGGCGACCTGCGGACACGAATGTCGTCCAAAAATCTATCTCTCAAGAGATACGATTAATTTTTGTTTTCTTCCCGAAACGTTTAATTTTTTCCCAGCGGCAGAAGTCTACGGATCAGAACACCTCGTTGGAGTTCTGATGGCAGCCCATCAGAGATGGGGTATTCTGATGGCCGCCCATCAGAGTTGGGGGTACTCTGATGGCCGCGGATCAGAGTTGGGGTCTTCTGATTTGCCTCCGATCAGAACCCCTCCCGGGGAGTTCCGATGGAGGTCTTCTGTCGCACTTCTGAAATGTTCCAACAATTAATGCCCAACGTTCTTATCTTTTAATGCAGCGTTAAATGGACAGTTCATGGACGATTCAATGCCCAACGGACTGGTCATTGATGTCCAACGTTCAGGTCCATTAATTCACCATTTACACACAACAAATCCTCCTATATAAGGGCTGGCAGGTGGTTTGCAACAACACACGGTTTTACACGAATCCATACACGTTTTAACTCTAAAAACACACTGCTAGCATTCTGAAAAATTCCCCTGTGTTCATACTGTGTTCTCGTTCGCTGGAACTCTTGTTTGTGTGCTCAAACATTAGTTCATAGTCATCGTATCCTGGGAAACGATTGTTGCAACGCTCCTAGCACCGTGGGAGGCAACAAATACGTTTTAAGGACATCGTGCGTAGCACGAGCTTTGACTAATTCTGCTTCATCTCCTTTCTTGTTTTTCTCCAGTCATTTATTTAATTAATTTATTTTAATTAATTTTCTTTATTTTCCGAAACACACCCAACAACAACTCCACTTCCAAAGAGCTTCTTTAACAAAATTGACATTTAAATGGGGATCTATGTATTTAATAGATAAGTATACCAATGACAGGATGCTATTTTTAACCGAAAATATAAAGCATAAAAGCAGTCTGGTTAAATATCAACCAAATTGGCCAAGAGAAACAATTATAATATGATAACTTATAGTTGCAAAGCATCTCAAATTAAATTGGCTATAAATATGTATATACGTAATCTAAAGTAATCAAAACTAAATCATCATGTTATATCTAAACAGAAGGTGTAATTTACGCAAGGCTTTGAAGGGTTTAAAGATAATATATTTTCAACCAAAACTGAATTTGGGAAGAAATTACAATTGAAGTTGATTGGGAAACTGTCAAATAGGTCCCCGAACTTTCATAAAAAAGTCAAATAAGTTCTTATACAGGAGGCTTTGTCCGGCCGTCGCGATTTGGGGCGGTTTCCGGTGTAATTTTTTGATGAAATTTTTTGAGCATCTTATTCATCAAGTCTAGTTACTCATACCAAAGTTCAGCTAAAACTTCAATCGGGAACGCATTTAAATTAATTCTTGAAGATGACTGGGCATATATGAACAACTTCTTCTCCTTGTAGCGTTGGAAGCGAAGATATCGTTTGAAGAAGAGACGGTAGAAATGAGATGGAATGATGAAAGACAATCCGATCATTCAAGTGATTTGCATTTTTTTGGCAGTCGGACAGAACCTCCTATATATGGAGTCATTTGCATTTTTTTGGTTAATTCAAGTGCTTATTTGTCCCTTTTCTCTTCTTTTTTTAATATCACCGATCACTTGCCTTCTAATCCTCTTTCCTTCCAATTCTTTCCTTATCAGTTATACTAGGCTAAAGGGTCAAATAGGTACTCAAACTAACTTAAAAAGTGCAAATCATGTCACGCCCCGGACCTATCCGGACACGTCAACAATCCGCCGTATAGTACGAATAGTCAACCGCAGTCCAACACATCCATACTATACAAGGCGTCTGGAATATCATTCACAATAGTACATCCGTAAACAAACATAATGTAAAAATATTCATTCGAGCAGCGGAAACATTCAATACAAGTGTTCATGCCACACCTTGGCAAACATGGGCATACAAGCCCCAAATACGTATTTAAAAAGAATATCCATGAACATTAATTAAATAGTTTGTAAAATGGAAACGAAGGAAGCACGAACCACGCCTCTTCTCCTTGGATCCTTACGAAAACAACGTCGGTGGTAGGCTCACACTACATTCTTGCTAGAGCTCGACTCATAGTCATATGATATGCACTAGTTTGTAGTGCATAAATGTGTGTTTTTATATCTATTCTGTGTGGATTGTTTACCGTTTTTAGTTAGTTTTTAAGCAATCATCTTCATTTGTTTGTAATTGATTTTAATCATTTTTATTAAGTTGTAAAGTAGTAGTAGAGTTTTTGGCAAGGAAAAGAAGTGAAAAGAAGAAGAAAAATATCCAGGTGCACAGACCCGGCCGGGTCAGGCACTTCACCCGGTCGGGTCTGATTTAACAGATGCAGATACTCAGGAAATTACATCACCCGGTCGGGTGAGGTATTTCACCCGGTCGGGTCCGACTTGACCCGGAGCACCAGAACGTGCCGAAGATCGCCAGAACGTGTAGGATATTTGATTTTGACATGCACCCGGTCGGGTGGACACTTTACCCGGTCGGGTACCCGGCCAAAGGTGTTGAAAAACACCTATAAATAGCCTCATTTTCCTTCACAAATAATCATCCCTTCTTCCATACTCTTAAGCTCAGTTTAGAATAGTATTTCTTTTATATTTTTATAGCATGTTTAGTCTCCAAATGAGGAGCTCAACTCTTCCATCTTGGTTTTGCTACTTTGAAGCTTAATGAATTTGTAAGTTGTGAGTTATTCTCTTTAATCTTCTTCCTTGAATATTAATTCTTCCTTTAAATACTATTTCTATATCAATGTTGGGGAGTGTTACTAAGATGACAATTAGTTAACATCTTGACATTAATTATAGTAATAGCTATTTCTTCCTCTATGTTAATATTGGGGAGTGTTACTAAG